TCATACAGGCAAATATATAGAGTATAAATCACAGAATATCTCAACACCTTCTCAATAGGCGCATGACAGAATTCTGCTCATTAAGTGCCAGGCGCTCATATTAGGACCTGTGAAAACATCATCGTTATAGATTGTCAAGGTGGAAATCCAATAACTGCAGCAACTTTTTCAAAGCTCTCTTGGAAACATATGATGATTCAACGTCTGGCATGGTGTGTATGAGAGTATCAATGAGGAAAACAAAAGCAGCACTGAGAGACTTGAGATAATGCAGATATTAAAGCGAGCAAGCCTTGGAATACAAATCAGGTTACAAACGTAAGCAGACAGTATAGTGACATAAAGAACTGTCACATGTATTTTATGTTCCCACAAATAAAAAAATTGTTGCTATTAGCTCTCACTAATACGAAGAGAAAAATGTGGAGAAAACAAAAGTAGCTGCTCTTAATGATGCAGAGCCAGAGTCCCTTGAGTCATTACAAACAACAACAAGAAACAGCTAACTGCAAATTGTAGGTAAATAAAACAAGTTCCACACAGATGCATTGTTGATTTTTGTTTTTCGTTATTTGAAAAAAGGCAAATTCTGAATATACAAAAATCTGATCTTACCTCTCTCTGGGCTGTGTGGTCATCAACGGTCTCCAAGGAATCTTCATGCCTTTATTAGATAACAATAGTGGAGAGACAACAGGTCAGATTATAACCAGACACATGGTCAGTGCCTTAACCCCCAACCTTCCATGCTGTGTTATTTAGTTTCCACAAAAGAAAGTCTGTGGACCTGACACTAAGTGTTGCTTCAGTGTTATTATAGGATCCTATTGCTTTTCATGTCAAGATATGCCCTGCGTAACATTCAAGCACTAGGAATAGCCAGGCGATGTTGTATCCTAAACCTAACCAAGTGGTTTTGTTGCCTTTCACCTAAACAGGTGGTTTTGTTTCCTAAACCTAACCAAAAGGTTAAGATGTCTTAACATTTTAAAACTAACCACAGTGCGACTGAAAACTAAAGAAACTATTTTACTATACTAAGGAACATTATAAGTCAACTAAGTCTAAAACACTATCTTACTGGGAAGTCAAATGCCAGCCTCCCAGGTGCAGGTCCTGTACTTAACCCATTGGTCTACCACTACTTTCTTCCTATATTTGGACTTTGGCGCTATTATACTACATATAAAGTTTGAAGATGTGAGCTGTCTTTATGTGTCTATAATGCCATTGTAACAAATACATTGAAGAGAAATAATAAGTAATAAGTAATGTGTCTAATTTGTGAATAAACCCAATTGTTTCTTTTAACGGCACTGTGCTGGAGTACAGAGCCAACACAACAAAACTATCTTATGCTTATCGACTGCATGGTACATTCTGTTTTCAGAACAACAGAAACATCAAGTGAGCGCTCAGCCTGATCTCAGTAAACAAACAGCTGCTGCAGGCTCTCTGTTGTAGAATACAGTGCATCATTTCCCCGTGTGTCGGCCCTGCAGGCAACACACAGACGAGCGTTTTAACCACAGAGAGCACTTAAACCCTCCGTGACTGTCATCCAACAGCAGGCTTTTTTGTTGCCTATAGCAACATAAAGATGTTCAGCACTTGTGACAGCTGTTTGTTAAGTGCTCTCCCAGTCCATATGTATCAGACCACCTGGAGACAGTGATACACACTGAGCAATACCAGCTCCTTCAATAACACAGTGTGGCCATGTGGACTGATAGAGCCATTCTTTTACTCATTTGATGCATTAGATATAAGTGCTGTAGAAATAGATTTGCACTATGTGTAACCCTGAGAGAGAATACATACTTTATATAAAGTGTTCCTAGACTGGGAAGCATGGATGTAACATTGATGTTTTTGAACAACAATATTAGATTCAACAATATGCATGATTTTTGGTACACACAAAAGCATTTTCCATATCTACACAGATGCCAACTGAACCTAACACTAACCACAGAGGGTGGGGTGGTGCAATGGTAAACATAGTTCACCGGGGAATGGGCTTCAGCACCGGCATGCGACCCGCTGTTTTCTCAGCAAGTCCCACCACCTAGCATCGTATTTAAATCATATATTCACAGTTATATATATTCTACTGTATAGTCTATAGTCGCTAAATGTATGTCTTCTAATCCAGGGGTGACAAGAGACCCCCTTGTGACAGAAATTATATACTGTACATTTAGTGGTTTTTGATCCTAAACCTAACCTTAATTATGGTGGTGGAGGAAACGAATGATGATGAGTGATGACAAGGATGTCAGGAAGGACACATTTAGTTGTTTGTTGTTAAATGCAATGATAAAGTTCTTATTTTAACATTTAGTTCAGAGGGCTTATTGGGCAGCTTTAGCTAATCTCTACCATTGTCTGCTGTTCGATGCTGGGCAGGTAGTGGACTGTGGGTTTATCAAAACCTTTCACTGCAAGCAGCAGCCTGCTGATGACAGCAGAGTTGTGGATAATTCTGTTATGGGTGAGATCAGAAGCAGGCATAGGAAAGTGCACACTGATATAAACTTAGTTTAGAGTCGGTTTGGACATTTGTTAATCTTCTTAAAATTTACTGACATTACTGACCACAATATCTCTACTTTCAGTTTCCTGTCCATGTGAGGGTGCACTTGCCACCAAAATAACATAATAGGAATATTTCAGAAAGACATTGTAATAAATATTTACAGCAGCATATTCATACAGAGCTGTGGCAGTGATGAATGGGGAACTGGAGCAGGGCAGAAAATCAACAGAAATTATGTTGTAAATTCAGGTTATGTCCAGGGTAGGTGACTGAGGGGGCTGTTAAAAATTGCAAGGGGGAAATTTTTTCATAAATAAAAATCATATATTTAACCATGCAAGAGATTCAGAAAGTAACAAAAACAATTAAAGCTGCAAGCAGCGTTGGGCGGGACCTTGCACTCCACGCAACTCGGGGAGTGCTGCGGCCGCGTCACGTGCCGTCGTAACACGTGCGGACCACAACATGAAAATCTGCCGTTAATCAGCTCAAAATCGCCATGCAGCGCTTACTTCCTGTTGCCAGTAGGTGGCGCTATCACTATGTCTGAATATTGTCATGTACACGTGTTCAGGGCGGGACTGTTATCAAGCATTTGAAGTGTGGAGTCGATTGGACAATGTACACTCGAATTCGTGTTTTGTGGCGGTCCATCAAAATTTCCCGCCACCCCACAGACACGCCCCCTCACCACAGTCAACACATCATCAACAATGTGTTTTGCATTTTATGAGTAAATTTCAGCCGAATCTGATCATCCTGCGAGGAGTAGAACATGAAAGTATAAAACGTGATACTTCCTGTTACCAGTATGTGGCGCTATCACTGTCTGAATATTGTCATGTAGACGTGTTCAGGGTGGGACTGTTATCAAACACGTGAAGTTTCATTGAGATTGGATCATGTACGCTGAAGTTATGAGGACGTGTTCAGGGTGGGACTGTACACTGAAGATGAGTACTATCTGTTTGATGGCCAATCGGTGGAATTCCACACGTCGTCATGGGCACACGGTTAAACATACAGTCACAAATAGCACAACTTTTGATAACCAATGTGTGTAGATTGAAGTGATCAAATTTGAAGTCAACCTGATAAAATCTGTAGGAGGAGTTAGTTAAAACAGAAGCCCTTAAATGCCGGAAATAGCATCACAGTTTGACATTCGATTCAACCTGGCCAACTTTGAGGGAACGCCACGGACACGTCCTTTAACGTACAGTCACAAATAGCACAACTTTTAATCAGCACCATTTTTTGACTGTACTGACCAATTTTCAAGTAGGTCCGATAAATAAATAAAGGAGTTCGTTCAAATACAACGCGAAGAATTCACCGAAAATGCGCACGGAATTCACTATGGCCAACTTTGAGAGCACGCCACGGAAACGCCCTTCAACATACATGCACAAATAGCACACCTTTTAATCAGAACCATTTTTTGACTGTACTCACAAATTGTTCAGCTCCATTCACCGAACGCGTGGATACCAGGTTTATGACAAACTATGCAGAAGTTATTAGCCTAAACGCACTTTTTATGATAGTAGCGCCACCTAGTGGCCAACCCGAAAGCGACGCATAGAATATCCCCATTTCCACCAGGCCTGACAACTTTGCCAAATAAAATTGACTTTTCGTATATGTTCCCAGGGGCAAAAGTGCAGTCAAAGGGGGCTAAAAATAATAAGAAGAATAGGTAAGAAATCGAGCGGTCGCTGGCTCGGTCCCTAATAAAAAATAACAACCTAAGGCTACTGTTTACGCACCACTAGCAGAGTGCTAAATATCTTTTGAATTTATAAACAAAAATTTTCTTGGTCAAAATCAGCAGGGGGAAGCGCTTAGAAACCTGTTTGTGGCTTGCAGCTCCCTGACATGTTCTGTCCGTCTTTCTGTCTTTCTGTCTCACAATCTTCTCTGCTCTGTAACAGTTCTATGGACAGCACGACCCTAGCATACACCTATGCAAATAGTCTAAAATTATACTGGCAAAGTCATTCTCTGATACACCAAACCACCAGAATTCTTACAAAATAGCCCTGCATTCAGAGAGTTCAGTGTTCTAGTGGGATAGCAGAGTACTATGAGCTCTTAAAGATATGAAGATGGCTGACCACGAAGAGCTTTGTATGTGAGGAGGAGGATTTTAAATTCTATTCTGAATTTTCCAGTGCAGAGAAGCTAATACAGGATAAATATGATCTCTTCTCCTAGTTCCTGTCAGTACTTGTGCCCCAGCGTTCTGAATCAATTGTAGCGTCCTAATGGACTTATTGGGGCAGCCTGATAATAGGGAGTTTCAGTAATCCAGCCTAGAAGTAACAAATGCATGGACTCTTTTTTTGTATCTTTCTGTGACAGGATGTATCTGATTTTTGCAATGTTGTGAAAGTGAAAAAGGCAGTCTTACATGTTTGCTTTATGTAGGAGTTGAAAGACATCCTGATCAAAGATAACTCCAACATTCCTGACGATGGTGCTGGAGGCCAAGGTAAGTTGGTAGATTTCAAACTTCAGTTTTGACAGAGTTTAACATCAGAAAATTGCAGGTCATCCAAGTTTCTCCATAACAATGAAAGTTAATAGAGTGATTCCTAATAATGTTGCCTAAGGGAAGCATATATAAGGTGAATAGAATTGGTCCAGGCACAGAACCTTGAACTCAATGACTAACTTCAGTGTGCATGGAGGATTCATTGTTAACATTTACAAACTGAGATTGATCTGATAAATAGGACTCAAACAAGCTTAATGTGGTTCCTTTGCCAATTAGATGTTCATGTCTCTGTAATAGAATATGATGGTCAATGGCATCAAATGCAGCACTAAGATCTAACAAGACAAGTACAGAGACGAGTCCATTGTCTGATGCAATTAGAAGGTAACTTTCACCAGTGCTGTCTCTGTGCTTTGATGTACTCCTGACTGAAAATCCTCAAACAAGTTGTTGCTATGTAAAAAGTATGGGCTGATTTTTGTGTCAGTAGAAACTGAATTTTAATCATTTAGAACTGAATCTGAATTGCTCAACTTAAATAATTGCCTTAAAAACTGAATTTGAATTGCATAATTTGAATTTTTATTGTTTAACTTGAATAACTGTATTGAAAAAATGAATCTGAATAGCATAATTTGAATTTGAATTTATTAGTTTGAAACTGAATTGCTATACATTTGAAACTGTATTTGAGCCTCACTAAAAATTCAACTTTTTATGTACTTTCAGTTCCCGTCCTCTAAATTCAATTTCAGTTCTCTCAATTCAAATTCAGTTCTCTCAATTCAATTTCAAACCAAAACAAAATTCACTTTTAAGGTCACAGACGGGTCAAGGTCGTTCAGTAAGAGCAATCGAGTGCAGATGCACAAAGCTCCTTTTTGGCCAAGCGGCACGTTTGTTTTTGACCATTTCCTGGACCTGTAGACATTGGCTAGCAAGACATGCTTAAAGGAGACATATTATGCCCCTTTTCAGGTTCATAATTGTATTTTGTGGATTTCCTACAATAGGTTTAGATGTTTTAATGTTCAAAAAACACATTATTTTTCTCATACTGTCTATAGCTGAGCACCTCTTTTTAGCTTCTGTCTGAATCGATCGGTTTTAGCTTCTGTCTCTTTAAGGCTCCCCTTCCCGAAAAGCCCAGTCTGCTCTGATTGGTCGGCAATATGACGCGGATGACGTGGATGACGCTCTGGCCCCTCCCACTTCCGCCTCAGCGTTGCCGGCAGTTAGCTCCTCACTGCTACTGAGTTTATCTGCATTTCTACCATCAATATTAATTCAATAACTGCTTCTAAACCAAAAACTTACCACTGGACATCTTTTCGTGTTCCTTCTTTCTGATGTTGGCGTCTGCTGGTATGGCCACATCTATCACCACCGCCTTCTTCTGCTCCTTGTCTACCACCACTATGTCTAGTTGGTTGGCCAGGACCTGTTTGTCAGTCTGGAAGCTGAAGTCCCACAGCACCTTGGCCCTGTTTTTCTCAGCCACCTTCTGTGGTGCGGCCCATTGGGATTTGGGTACTTCTATTCTATACTGGGTACAGATGTTCCTGAACACTATTCCAGCTACTTGGTTGTGTCTCTCCATGTACGCTGACCCAGCTAGCATCTTATACCCTGCTACTATGTGCTGGACTGTCTCAGGGGCATCTTTGCATAGTCTGCACCTTGGATCAGATCTACTCTTGTAGATCTTGGCCTCTATGGCTCTTGTACCTATGGCCTGTTCTTGTGCTGCCATGATCAGTGCCTCTGTGCTGTCTCTGAGTCCAGCCTTTTCTAGCAATGGGTAGGTCTTCTCAATATCAGCCACTTCTTCAATTTGGTGGTGGTACGTGCCATGTAGGGGCTTGTCCCTCCAGGTTTTCTGCTCCTCTTCTTCTTCTGCACTCTTATTGGGTTTCTGTTGCCTGAGACATTCACTTAGCAGTTTGTCCATCTATGTCTTGTTCCAGTAGCCCATTTCTCATCAGGTTGCCCTGGTTCCCTAGCACCTGATGCGGACCTTGTTGACCCGGGCGACGTCCTTTATCTGTACTCTCATGTTGCTGCTCCCCCGACCGGGATTCGAACCCCGACATATATATATATATATATATATATATATATATATATTAACCTCTATCTATCATATAATGTTAGTGTTCATACCTTAATTATGAGAACCAACACTGTGTTTTATGCTTGTTTTTACAGGTACAGCAGTGAGCAGTGACCTACAGTCTACACAGCCCAGTGAAGTTAAACATATTATATATTACATAATATTAACAATATTAGTCAAGCAGTTGTTTCTAGTGAAGAAACAGCCAGTAAATGTACCAAAGTAATCAGAGTAATAGTAAGATGATTACTGTAACCTCCCATCTGTTATATTCTTTATACACATTAGTTTACTGAGACCATGGAAACTTGCCATAATGAGGCAGAAACCTGCCTGGAATACTTTATCCTGTACAACAATGTCAACATAACTGAAGCAATTACTCATCACTCATCTAATAAAGTAACATGTTTATGTGGTTTAAAAACTGCTAAGTAACCAACTGTACTTGTACTGTATCCATATTTGATAGTCTGATAATTTAACTTTAAAGTATTATTACCAAAGTTAACCTTTAGATATTTGTAAAAGCTGCAATTGTGTTTTACGTTTTATTTTATATATTATGATGTCATTTGTCTTCCAACATAATAAAGTTTGAATGTGAGACAGTAATGTATTGTGTTACAGGTTTAAATTTCACATTTTCATATTGATAGATGTTACACAAACCAGGTTTTCAACTCTTGTACATCCAGGAAATCTTCATAGCCTATGTGAAATAACATGTTATTTATATAAAACCACACTTATTACTGAATTTAAAAATGACCAAAACTCTTCTTAAAAGTAAAACACTTTATTTATGTTTCATTCATATTCCAGTTACACATGTTGTAAGTAACAAAGCTATAACTTTTATGTAAACTGTGCAGATTGTGTCCTTCATCAAGGTATCTTAGGTTTCCAGTATACTGAAGTGTGAGCTGGTAATGGAGCTCTGCAGTCAGTGTTCATCTTGATGAGTCTTCCTTTGGATACACAGGCTGTCCTGATGCTGCAGCTGTCTCTGTCCTCTGATGGGTCCAGGAACACCTGAGCTTCATCAGGTCACCTGTAAAACAAGGCAGATTCAGTGTTACTTGTAAGACAGCATATAATATACAGTATAATATAATACAGTATAATTACAACAGCTCATTGTGGCTCAAAGTTATAAACTAAAATAATAAAGCAGTGTCTTTGGTGGGTGCCTTGTTGCAGCTAACTGTAGTGATGTGTTGTTGAAACAGTCTGAGGTTACCAACAAAAATGTCTATCTAATGGCAGCAGATACACACACAGGACATTTACTGTGACTGTAACTGACGTTGTTCCCAGTGCAATAACAGACATTTAGCACTGAGCCTCAGTGTTGTTTATCATACAATAGGAGATGATATGAGTATGATATGTTACAGTGGACCTGCACCTAAGTACCAGTACTGCAGTAACGCTAAATATATAACTTTTATTAGTCGCGGTTTGACTCCACAAAACAGCCTTTTTACTTTTAGAAAACTGTCTCTCTTAAACCAAATGTCGTCATGTTATTTTAATGACACCAGTGTTTTTCCTGTTATGACAGGAACAAGATCTACAGTGCATCTGGAAAGTATTCAAATCACTTCACTTTTTCAACATTTTGTTACGTTTAAAAAGATTAAATCCATTTTTTCCTCAAAACTTTACACACAATACCCCATAATGACGACGTGAAAAAAGTTTGTTTGAAATTTTTGCAAATGTATTAAAAATAAAAAACGAAAAAATAACATGTATATAAGTATTCACAGCCTTTGCCATGACACTCAAAATTGAGCTCAGGTGCATTCAGTTTCCACTGATCATCCTTGAGATGTTTCTACATCAACTTGATTGGAGTCCACCTGTGGTAAATTCAGTTGATTGGACATGATTTGGAAAGACACACACCTGTCTATATAAGGTCCAACAGTTGACAGTGCATGTCAGAGCACAAATCAAGTCGTGAAATCCAAGGAATTGTCTGTATACCTTAGAGACAGGATTATATCTGCAGCATTGAAGGTCCCAATGACCACAGTGGTCTCCATCATCCGTAAATGAAAGAAGTTTGGAACCACCAGGACTCTTCCTAGAGCTGGCCGCCCAGCCAAACTGAGCGATCGGGGGAGAAGGGCTTTAGTCAGGGAGGTGACCAAGAACCCGATGGTCACTCTAGCATTGCTCTGTGGAGAAACAACCTTCCAGAAGGACAACCACCTTTGCAGTACTCCACCAAGCAGGCCTGTATGGTAGAGTAGCCAGACAGAAGCCACTCCTCAGTAAAAGGCACATGACAGCCCGCCTGGAGTTTACTTAAAGGCACCTGAAGGACTCTCAGACCATGAGAAACAAAATTCTCTGGTCTGAATGCCAAGCGTGATGTCTAGACGAAACCAGGCACTGCTCATAATCTGGACAATACCATCCCTACAGTGAAGCATGGTAGTGGCAACATCATGCTGTGGGGATGTTTTTCGGTGGCAGGAACTGGGAGACTAGTCAGGATCGAGGCAAAGATGAATGCAGCAATGTACAGAGACATCCTTGATGAAAACCTGCTCCAGAGGGATTTGGGCCTCAGACTGGGTCGAAGGTTCATCTTTCAACAGGACAACAACCCTAAGCACACAGCCAAGATAACAAAGTAGTGGCTTCGAGACAACTCTGTGAATGTCCTTGAGTGGCCCAGCCAGAATGCAGACTTGAACCTAATTGAAGATCTCTGGAGAGATCTGAAAATGGCTATTCACCGACACTCCCCATCCAACCTGATGGAGCTTGGGAGGTCCTGCAAAGAATGGGGAAAACTGCCCAAAAGTAGTAGCAGTTCTAACTTTTTAGTTTGTTCAGGTGTTGAAAACAGGACTTCATGCTGCTGCTTGTGGTGATTTTCTCCTTTAGCGTCTATTCAGGTCAGCTGCTCTCTATATTGGGTCTGTTTATCCTCAGGTCTATTCGGTTAGGTAGATTTTCCACAATTAGTTTCGGATCAGTTTATACATTTTGGCTCTGTGAGTACCTCTAGTAATTACGGCTGACATTTCACACTGAGAATCAATTCATCAAGACAGTCTTCCATTATCAGCGGACTCAACTGGACACTAAAGGAACTGCAATTTTTGTTACTTCAGTGTTGGCTTCATTTGCCAGCCACAGAGGTTGCTGCTTGTTGAAAACCCCAGGAAATGTATGCAGACATGCAGTTCTTCTTACCAAAAATCCATAGACATACTATAAGGCTGCTGCTTGCATGACAAATGGACAAATCTTTGTGATTTTTAAACCATTAATGTCATGCATTTAACATTTAGTACAACTTTATTATTTAGGGGGCGTCCGGATAGCTCACCTGGTAGAGCTCAGTAGTTACAGATTGCAATTCCCTCGCTTCACTTTCCCCTTCCAAAAAGAGAAACTACGGTGGTTGTGAAACGCAGGCCTATCTAGAGCTAGCGTTTGGTTTGTTTCCAGACTACTGTAAAAACACAGCGGTTCATGGCCGACTACATGGACGATGACCCTATTCTTATTTTAATTTATACACTAATGAAAACATACCTATGAATATTCTATTCCATTTCTGCCAATACATCCTCCTAAATGTTACACACTGAACCTTTAAAAATACGAAACGTTGATCACCTAATAATCCTAACCGACAACATGAAGATATATTGAGTTTCATCTACTGTGGAGTTGGATTATATTGGTTCTGTTAGAGTATTTTTGTTGAGTCCAGTGTGGCTTCCTCATGTATTGCCATTGAGTGAGAGAAACAGACCTCAGCAGGGGAAATATTCCCCCCTATCTAGAGCCAGTTTGTCCAAAAACAACAGGTTTTTTTTTTCTGTGCCCACAGATTCCGGTGATGACAGGCGCCTTCATGGACTCATCTCCCAATGATGACTACAGCACCGACCATTCTCTGTTCAACTCGTCCACCAGCGTCCACGCTGCCTCCATGGCAGTTCACAGCCAGCCTGAAGAGCCCCAGTCAATGTCTGGGGATGCCATTTGGCTCTGGATCGCCATCACTGCCACCATTGGGAACATAGTAGTTGTAGGCGTAGTGTACGCCTTCACATTCTAAGAGCTCTGAGCCAGGATGTTTGAAAGAACTTGGGGTATAGTGTCTGACTGTATGAGCAGCAATGGGCTGTGAGCACACTCTCTGTCAACCAGATGACTCACCAAATGGAAATTCGTCACAGAACACAGCAAAATTACCCAGCAGTCATCAGTCGCAAAGCACTTGAGTCATAATCTGCCAACGAAGTGTGGAAGAGTGGGGGGAAAAAAAGTGTGTGTGTGTGTGTATATATACATATATTATAGCAGACATAATGTAAATATGTCCTCTTTCTTCAGTGTGTTTATGTGCTTCAAAGTGTTTCTGTTTTCCTTTAATGGCGATATATACTTAAAATACTGAAAAATGTTTACTTACAGTATGTTGCAGGGACTTGTGTGAAGGCTTCAGGGTGGGGGTGATGGATCAGACAAGGGGCCCTTTAAAGGAGGCAGAAACCTGTTGGCCTTCTGAAAAAATTATGTAATACTGTAGGAAACATCAGGGTAGTGTGTGAGTTTGTGTGTTTGGCTGGCTGTGTAAGCTCAGCAGAAGAGGTGAGCAGATACTGTTTTGTTCCATTATTCCATTAGAAAAACGTTTATTCTGAAACAACAGATTCAAGGACAAACATTCCAACTTTTCAAACCCTTGAAATATTTAAATGTGGTGTTATTTTGTGTTTTTACTGTTAACCCTGTCTGTAAATTTCCCCATATGCAACAATATGAATGAATGTTTGGCCAAAGACACTTACTTTATTTGTAACTGTAACAGTACTTCAAGATTCAAGAGGTTTTTTATCATATGTACAGTAAGAAACACAAGGTTTGTATTTACAATGAAAATCTTACTTTGCCCGACTCCCTGAGGCAACACACAAGTAGAAGAGTAGAATATAAAATTAAAAATATAATTTTTTTTAAATATAACATAACTTACCACTTAAAGTACAGAACATTGTACAGTAAACAAAGAAACCTGAGTTGAATAAGCTGCTCTATGCCTCACAGTTACACTTAAGGTGCTGTGTGACATTATATCACAGTGGGAGTAAATTGGTGTGGGGGAGGGTGGTGTGTGCTGTACTGTTTTAGAGAGTTACTTGTAAATCAACCTAAACTGTGATTTCCTCTATGGCGTCAGAGTTATGTCATATGTCACAATAAAATGGAAGCAGAGCAGCCGAAGGACATCAGAGGACAAACCAGAAAATATTTACTCCATCAAATATGATCCAGTTTGACCAAAAACAGTGAATAAAGTTGTGAAAGTTGTACTGTATTTAGTTAGGCCCTAGGTCCCCTGAAACATTCCACTCCATGATATTTTCACAACTTGCCATCAGACCAGTGCCTGAAATAATATAAGATGAGGAAAAGAAAAGAAGATAAGATGACTTTATTGATTCCACACTTGATGGAGACAATCACTTGCTACAGCAGCTCCAGATACAATACAACAGATAAGAAAAGTACACAATAAATAAAACGCTATATACAGCTATTTATACAGTTTTTATACAGATGTGATAGATATGGAATATTGCACAGGTTGCAGCTGGAGGCAGTGGCATGGTATAAAAATAAATAATTGCAATAACATAAACAAACAAACCAAGCGGTAGACCAGCAACTCCCAAGGTAAAAGGACTCTTTTTATCAGAGGAGTCTGGTGGCTTTATATAACGACCTGAATCACGTCCAACATATGTTGAGATATTCTGTTTGGGGTCATCCCTATGTTCCCCGCTAAGGTTAGGGTTAGGGTTCCCCGGTCCCATACAAAGCGGGGAACATAGAACCCGGGGAACATAGGTACGCTCCCTTCTGTTTGTAGCTTTCCGTATAATTTAGTTTAAACTAGCACAGCACTAAGTTTACTTCCATCTCATCGCTTGAAAAAATTTTCAAATATTTCTTTTCAGTGCAAGGCGTGGAGTCACCCTGCTCATCAGTGTCCCACTGGACCTAGACAGCCAATCAAATCAAGCAAGAGATTAAATAAATAACTAGGTTAGCTAGCTGTTTGCTTGTTTTTTTTCTGTGTACAGTGTGTGAGAGAGCTACAGAGCTGGGGTGTAGTGGGGGGTTAACTCATGTAACCTCAGTTACACAAAAGCTTTGAAATGAAGCTAGAATTCACTCATCTAGAGCTCAACGTCTGCTTCAGTATTTTTTTCTGTTAATCACATTTGTTTGCCTGGGTGTGCACGCTGCCTCACTTCACAGATCCACCAACTGTTTTTTACCTGATGTGCTCTGTGTAACTGGCCGCAATCAGAAGCTGTCATCAAGGTATGCATGGAGGTCCATGTGGGTCATAAGAGGTTCAGTGCCTCCCAAAACTTTGCCATTCTTTGCCTCTCCCTTTGTTTTGTTTTTCTGGCTCGCTGCTGCCTGTACAACTCTCGGTTGTTGAATTTGTGTGTGAATGGCAGTTATTATCTGCACTTGTGAAATAGTATAATTTTCTTGTGAGCATTTGACATAAATCTGACACCATATGTGTCTTTCTGTTGTACAAAATGAGCCAGTATTACTATTTTATCTCCTCCATGCTGGTAGCTTGTTTTTCTTGAAATTAAAACATGAGTTCCCAAGTCACTGTAAAAATTTTTTAAATGTTTCCCCCATTATATCAAATTAAAAAAAGGATGTTGTGGGGCCAATATTATTACTATATTTCTTGCAAATGTTAATTGAGAGTTGTGAACCAGGGGCTGATTTTGCATCGTGCAAGATGAGATCATTACCACTGCTGTTCATTTTCAAAACCAACCATGAAAACATTTGTGTCAACATTGCTCACAAATTGCTTTCATGAAACAAATGCCACAATCTCAATCTTTAAGGATTGTACAGTAAAGTAAGGTATTGGTGGATGAGCACACAACACATTATGATTATTGGAGAAACAAACTAACAGAGGCTAACATATAGACGGATAAAAAACAACCTCCCTTCAAAATACTATGCAAAATCAATTTTTTTGGAAAAGGTAATGTCGAGCTTAATATAGCTTTACAATAACAGAACTTTTTCCTTTAATTATTTAATGTTTAGGGTGCCCACCCATAGCCCAGAGAGTTGTAGACACTCATGCGAAGAGGAGGAGAACTAGCCTGTGTGGACTTCTCATAAAAAGTCTTTATCAGTTAACCTGTTCTTGGCCTGATGCTTCAAACATTTAAACAAGTTACTGAGTAACTGTAATCAGTTACAGTTACTTCTCCCAAAATTAACTGAATTACTTTTCTAATTACTGCATAGAAAAGTATTTAGTTAATAGGGAAAGTAACTTTTACTTTCAAATGTTTGCCTCAATTCACTTATTAAAGCACACAGCTGTCAGTTATATCAGACATTTCTTTTTTGTAATTTTTTTGGTATACTTAAATAGGGATACAATCTGGGTGTAATCTTAAAGAAAAGGCATTTTTCATTTAAGCTGGACTTTAATAAACAAGCATTGCTGTTATGTGTGTCCTTAAATGCTTTGCCATTCAATAGTCCACTTTCTGCTTTTTTTTTTTGCATATGTGTTCAGGGAGTCCATCATTTAGCCATGTTTTTGTGTGTGTCCTATGTAAAAACAATTACAATGACACGCAAGATGATATAACACACAGTTAGTGTTACAGCTGATATTTATTTGTTGATTTAATCATAAGATTACACCTTTCTTTATCCAAGAGCACCAAGAGCATTTCTTTGTTGACTGCATCTCATTTAGCACAGCACTATCTTTTTATGCTTTGAATTAAGCTACAACATTGGGTCCATACATTTTGTGAGCTAGTAAACTCTCAAATTAGAGATTGTGGCCTCTTAAATAAAAAAGCAGCCCTTATCACACTCAGCCTCTCTCTGTTTAAAGCTGCACTAGGTATTTTTATTTAAAAAAATATCTTCATACTCTGAGCCACAGCTGCCCAACAGCAAATATGACAGAGGCAGAGCGGCTCGTCCACTAATCGGAAGGTTGATCCCCGGCTCCTCCGGCTACATGTCAGAGTATAAGGATACTCTGACATGTAGCTGGAGGAGCCGGAGCCTTAATACTGCCGTTCCCATAATCTCTGTCCTTGCTCTGCTCACTTGCAGCAGCCAAATTGCTTTCCAAGTAGAATATGCCGTAATGAGTTCTGGGGTGAAAGTTGTCTGTTGCCATAGTGATGCATTTCCCTGCTCCCACCCTCATGCTCCAACAGTGGCACACCTGCTTTATGTCTCCCAGCCCAACTGGTGACTGCAACATACACTAAACTAATGACACCACAACACACAAACACACACACACACACACACACACACACACACACACACACACACACACACACACACACACACACACACACACACTTCAGCAAATTACACCACAACACCTAATAGAGGACCATTTGAAATTGATTTTGAAAAAAAAAAACATTTTAGAAAATATGTATATTTTTTTTCTTTCAGAAAGAAAGGTGTAAATATCAAGCTGATGTGTTGCATTAAGTATGAAGCTGGAATAACATTAGTTTTAATTGCTGTGATGACAATACTTCCAGGATACTGCAAACAGTCACTGTGACCAGACAATTGTTCACAGAGGAATAATTTCTGCATGCTACTCTCGCCAAAAGCTATTTTGTTTTTATACTGTTTTTGGCATGTTTGCCTTTATTTTGACAGATGAGCAGTAGAGACTCAGAAAAAAGAGTGAGAAAGCAACAGGGATGACATACAGTTCAGGTTCAAAGCTTCAAAATTCAAATTCAAAATTCAAATTGATGTAGGGCACTAAGACACCCCACAAACTGTGATTTTTATATTTCCCTTTTTTCCTTTAAAAAGCACCCAGTTAGCTCAGCTGGTAGAGCTGGCGACCATGTCCTTGCTGTAGCGGCCCAGGGTTCGAATCTGACCTGTGGCCCTTTGCTTCGTGTCATCCCCTCTCTCTTTTCTTTTCTCTATTTCTTAAATAAAAGACTTAAAGCTGGAGTGCCGGACTTTTACAAAAAATAAACATCTGTGACATTCAACCCCTTGACAAATGATTTCACACAATACTGATTAAGCCTATCACCGCCAAGTAAATCTATTTCACAGTATACAAGAGTCTTTGAATCTGGTGTCAGAAGAGATTCCTGGTAGTGAAGTTTTTTACACAAGCTGTAACCTCTGCAAATGAGGCCAATGTGGAAGTAACAAAAACTGCAGTTCCTCTAACGGCTACTTGAAGCTGGCTCCAGCAGTGAGTCAATCTCCATAAGGCCCCATATATTTAATGCTCAACTTTACAGCAGAAATAAACATGTTTACAGTATGTTATTGGTCTCTATAGCAAAACTTTCCCGTTCATGACAACTGTATGGGGGATTAATTTTTGTTATATTATTTCACGCGTATAAATTATATTAATGCTTAAAGTTATGCTTAAAGTTATACTTAAAGTTATGCATAATTAGGTGTGTGCCCACTTTGAGTGAAAGGTTGGTGCCGTCACAGGTGGCTGTTTTCAGTAACCAAGCTTTTTTCAGCCCACCTCAGGACTGGAAAGGAGTCAGGGCTACCAAGATGGTGACGGTCAGAACCGACCACACTGAGCATCACAACAGCTCTTCAGAAACTACAGTGGGTGACATCACAGAGACAACGTCCATTATTAGTTATCGTCTTGGTTTTACATCAACCAGCAATGATTGGTTTGCCAGAGCTTTATGGGCAACTGTAGTGACGGTGTAGGCTGTTGCAACTAGGACTATGGTGGACGTATGTCTGTTGACAGTGTTTGTGTAATTACTCTCACTGCCACAAGAGGGAGACAAAAGTTCCACACTGCAGGTTTAAATAAGATTTAGATTTACTGACCTCTGCAAGAACATACATATATAATGATCCATTTTCTACTTTTTGCACTTTACAGTACTTCTAATCCATTTCCAAGTATGTCCATCAATCACTTTGCAAAAATAGCTCTCCTTTTCCTGCGGTGAATATCAAATATTGGAGCCTCGTGATTCATCTCAACCCAGAGGATCAGATAGATTTGAATGAATATTCTGCCTGTAGAGTGTGACGCCCCTTAACACATAGCCCAGACAGTGTCCTCCTCCCCTTCCGCCCCACAGACAGGACACACAAAGTCAGTCCCCAAACAGCAGCCGACAGCCAGCCTGCCCATTAGGTGTAATGCTGGGCCAGAGAGGCTAATGAAATGTCACAAGATCCCTGATGCATCTGTGCGAGATAGCCCAGCAGGAGCCTGGAGGTCACAGACAGTGCATTAACACAATCAGTGTTTTCTGAGTCTGCCTGTCACGACCACAGGATGATGAAGCCACACAGTACAGTGTCCTTTCAGAGGAACACGTGACATACACTATTATTAGTTTGTGTTATCAGATGGTTTGGCTAGGACTTTGATCAATAGTTTTTTTAACTAGGAGATTGATGACTCACAGAAATGGGGCTAATTGTATTCTAATTAGAGAAGCTCATCACGTATTCAGATGCACAGATATGCAGGTAGCTCACTTACTTTAGACTGAGGTAAAACCAGACAGATTTTGAGAAAACGGGCACTTGGGTACAGAGACAAGTCATTAGTCAAAGAAATGGTAAGTTTAACATCAAAATCTGTGCATTCAAACAAGAGGTTCCTGTTTCAGTATCAGAAGCACAATAATGTTATGTTCTATTTTTTTCCAGGACCTGCAAGCTAATCTAGCAAGAAAATACACTGATATATTATTTTAAAATTATTTTATATTTTAAAAATAATGTATATATTAAATGACCTGATTATATAAATTATTAAATATGCATCCCAGGATTTCCAACTCTTAAGTTTCAATACTGATTCCCCCCACCCCACTCACTGAGTAAGGCTAAAATTCCACCAGGCAGCATTTTGCCATGCCCATGTGCTAGACCCATATGGAAATTTTCACCACCACTGACATGTGTGACAGGTTTTATAACTTTTAGGGCACGTTGTGGCCGCCAACACTGCAATATATTTCTAGAAATAATAATAATCAGTAGGGTTCTTGCAGCTGTTTCCGCTGCTCGGGCCCAAATATTGTTAGCGTTTGTCCTCTATCCAGTACCTGAAAAGACCTATGGGCACAGCAGTCAAATGTACTAAATTCATCTCCTATCATGCCACAAATATCCCTTTAAAGACTCTGTGATGCCTCGGTAACTTACTGAGTTCATTATTAAGACGACATCTCACCAACCAACTGAGAGATCAATAGCACCGTGACCTCCTTTGCCAATGCAAGTAATTATGTTACATTGATGGAGACATTAGAGGGACCGATGTGACAAACAATTGTAAAAAGGGCTGACAAAGGCATGAATTTGTGTGAAACGGTGAAACAAAGGGCGTTACATAAAACATATAGAACAACAAAATATGCTCAAATGCCTAGAAGCTGGTTTAACAGTGTCCATTTAATAGCAAACAATAATAGGCACCTGATCATGTGCACCAAAGCTTCATTCCAAAAGTATCTTTACCTGCATTATGGTCTGGACTAAGAAGTTTTTAGACAGTATTTTTATTTTCAGCTTTAGACAAGCGTTAGGTCAAAGTTGGTTTGTATGGAAGCTCTGAGAGGAAGTAAGTAAAAAAAAGTTCTGGTAATAAATTTTCTAAGTCTGATCTAAACTGTTTTCACTCATTGTTTTCTCTCCTGGGTGTATGGTTTAAGAAGGTTTTTGCCAATCTTTCTAAATTTTTTCCAAGGTGAAAAAAAAAGTTTTGCCAGGATACATTTTCTAAATTACAGTTTGTGTATGTGAAAACAGGTGAAAAAAAGTTATTGTAAAACTAGTGCTGTCCATTTAAGGCGTTATTAACGGCGTTAACGAAACCCATTTTAATGGCGTACATTTTTTTTTATCACAAGATTAACGTTCTTTTTGGCCTAGCACACTTTGAAAGTTTTTTTCACATGCTGTTGCAACAACTAGTAACATTAGAAAAACTACAACACCATACCGGATCTAGCTAGACTGGAAACAAACAACAGGCATGCTGCACACTCTTGTTTAAGAGTAGTAGACGTTACGTTTTGAGTGGATGGCGAGCACGAGACGCCAAAATGGATGCCAATAATATTCTGAATGGAAAGTTTACTTTTAAAAAGTTGCCAAATGGTTCCATTGACAAGACCAAAGTCATCTGTGTGTTTTGTCGTTGTAAACTGAGCTATCATCGCAGCACGCCCAGTCTGAAATACCACTTGATGGCCAAGCACACAGCTGATGCGAATTCTCCGCCCCCTCGTCAAAGCCAGGCGACAATGGATGATTTTTCAATAAAAACGTTTTTGCACAAAGCAAGCCGATCCACTTTTCCATGTTGATAAGAGCATTAAAATGAGAAAAAATAATGGGACAAAAAGAAATCAAGGGACAGAATAGATAAAAATGTGTGATTAATTGAGAGTTAACTATGACATTAATGCCATTAATCGTGATTCAATATTTTAATCGTTTGACAGCACGTT